GAGCTGGTGGGGGGGCCCCCCCCCCCCCCCCCCAACTGGCTGGGGGACCCAGGGCTGGTCTGGGAAGGGGACAGGGGGCAGGGGTTGGACAGAGTCAAGGGGGGCCTGGGGCAAAGAGGGGTCTGATTGGAGGGGGGTGGAGAAAAGGACTGGGGTCTGATGGGGAGGGGTGGGGGTAGGGGAGGGGTCTGGGGGCCTGAAAGGGACTGGATGCAGGAAAGGGCCTGGATGGGTGGATGAGCTGCAGGGAGTCATGGGCGGGGGTGGGGGAAGGGTCCCCTCTCTCACTGGCAGGGGCTGAACAACCTCCCACTGGTGCCCCAGGAGCTGTGCCGGGAGCTGCACGCCCGCGTGGACCGGGTGGATGAGGAGCGCTATGACACTGAGGTGCGCGTCAGCAAGAGCATCAATGAGGTGCGAAGCCAGACTCTGGTACCCGCCTTCAGAGACGGGGCAGCGCAGAGTCCTTTGGTAGCCCCATACTTGTGCCCGCTAATGCCCACTCTGAGCTCTAGCACAGCATTCCCTAGTGCCTTCCTACAACACAGAGCCGCCTTAGTGCCTCGCCCCCCTGGTCCCAGTGTGGCACCCCTAGTGCCTTCCCAGAGCCCCTCCACCTCCTCACTGCCCCTGCAGCACAGCACTTCCTAGTGTCCTCCCTGGTCTCAGCATCATGCTGCTCCCTGGTGCCCACCTTGCTTTCTGTGTCTCAGTACCCACTAGTGCCCACCTTGCTCCCTGCAGCACAGTACCCCCTAGCACCCTCCCACTGCCCAGCACCCACTACCACCTTCCCACTCACTTTCTCTCCTCTACCCCCTGACTCCCAGATCGAGGACCTGAACCAAAAGATCTTTGACCTGCGGGGCAAGTTCAAGCGTCCGGCGTTACGGCGGGTCCGGATCTCAGCTGATGCCATGATGCAGGCGCTGCTGGGCTCCAAACACAAGGTGTCTCTGGACTTGCGGGCCAACCTCAAGCAGGTCAAGAAGGATGACACCGAGAAGGTGAGATGGGGAGGGGGCACAGTGAGACTGAGGGAGAGGGAAGGAAGCAGGGGAAGGGGGACTGGGGAGTGAGTGGGGTGGGAGGGATGGAACCTCAGGGGGAGGGGAGAGGGGGATCAGAGGATCTGGGAGGGTGTGGAAAAAGGGCATGGCTGGGGTAGGTTCTGGGCTGGAAATGGGAGGCAGCAGAGGGAAGATGGGGTGCTCCCCTCCCCAGCACTGACTCTCTCACCCCCTCCAGGAGAACCGGGAGGTGGGAGACTGGCGCAAGAACATCGATGCCCTGAGCGGCATGGAGGGCAGGAAGAAGAAATTCGAGACCTCTGGGGCAGGGCAGGCCTGAGCTGGTGAGAGATCCCCCTAGCACCCCCAGACCCTGCTAGGGCTTTGGCACTGGGCAGCACTCTCTCCCCTCCCCTCTTTCCCCCAGCCAGCTCCCACCCCTGGCTCCCCACAGCACCCATTACTGGAACTGGAGAAGCCAAGAGATTTCCACCCCATCTCCAGCCAGCTCCTGACACAAAGCCCCCAGGCGCTCCATGCTGGGGCTGGAGCACTGGGTAATCCCCTTCCACAGCACCCCCTAGTGGGTGGGGCTGGGGCATCACTGCTCTACTCACCTTCATGCCTCACAGCGTGTGTTTCTCTCCAGCAGACCCAGACTGCTCCTGATGGGGGTGTAGACACTGCTGTAGACCTCATGTCTCCTGTTGAGCCCCACCAGCATGCCATCCCTCCCACCCCCGCAACCAGGAACAGCCCTGCCTTCGTAACCACCTTATTCACATCTGTCTGCCAATAAAAACACTCGGAGTCTCTGGGATTTGTCTGGACCTGTTCATAGAGGGGAGAGTTGAGGTGGGAAATATTCTCCCTCCCCTCTGCCTCCCCATATCTGGCCCCTGGGCAGAGGACTGGCTGGCTCAGCAGATGGAATGGGGCAGGGATGCAGGTATTCTAGTACTGCATTTTCTCACATACAACAGGCACTTTTCCGCACTCAAAAAAACAGCTGCTGGAATTTGAGTGTGCATTATATTTGAGAAATGTGGTATAAGCAGTTTCTGCCACTTACCAGGCAAAAGGGGAAGTGAAATCTACAGCCCTCCACAGGCAGCGGAACAATGAGCATAGTCTCCCTGCTTGCTGCTGCAGCTCCTACTGAGTTATAACAAAGATGTTTTCTTCTTCATTCAAAAATAAAAGTGCATCATATATTCCAGGGTGCATAGAGTGGGACAAATATAGTATTTGATCTATTAAAGTGTAGCCCACTCCCATCCCAGAGCTGGGGCTGGAACCCAGGAGTCCTGTCCTCTGCCTGCCTTACTCTCATCCAGTGACGCTCAACCTTTTGGCCCCACAGGCCGGATGAGTGGCATGGGGCCTGTCTGTGGCCAGGGTTGGGCCCTGGGACCTAGCACCAATTCCTATATGCCAGAATTGGGTGCTGGGGGCCCAGCACTGCCGCCTCCTGCCCTCTGCTAGCTGGGATTGGGTCCTGGGGAGCACGGTGCCACCCATACCTGGCCCTGCACAGAGACTGGGCACCAGATCCAGCAGGCAGGGCCCAGGGCTCCCTCTGGATCCAGAAATTTGGAAGTACAGGAGCAGTGCCACCACTCTCTCCTGCTGCCAAATTTCTGGACTTGTGGAGAGAACCCCAGGCCGGATGACAGCACCATGGGCCAGTTCTGGCTCATGGGCTGGAGGCTGAGCATCCCTGATCTGGTCTGGTTTCTGGAGCTGGGTACTTTTACCTCTAGACTAGATGCCAGAGTGCTTTTTACTGCCTTATGTAATGGAGTCAGCTCTGCCTGAGGGCAGTTCATGCTGGAAAGAACTCAGGTGTCCTGGCTCTTACCTTTCCTCCTGGTTTAAAATTTGACCTTAAAGTTGGGTCTGTACCCAGAGAGAAATGGCACACCCGCACCTCCCTGCACCCTCCTCCTCCTTATGGAAGGGGCTGGATTCCACATGCTCCCTACTCCCCATGCAGGGCAGACCAGTCACCATGTCCCAAGTCTGTCAGGAGCCTGTGACCCACTGCCCCAGCTCAGATTCTAGTGTATGAGTGGGGAGAGGTCTGCATTGATCCCAATCCACTCAGGCAGGAAGGTGGCCAAGGGCTTGAAGACTTTGAGGAATGGGGAGTCAGGCAGGGTGTAGTTGGCCAAGTAAATGGTCTCCCCTCTGGCTAGGTAGGCGACCCAGGTGCTGAAGGTCCCAACAGTCATGATTGTGTGGTTGCAATGGGCCAGCAGTGCAAAATCTCTGCCTGGAGATGACTCCCTCCCGTCTCCAGCAAAGTACACATCCCCACTTGAAGCATCGATGTTCTTCCGGCACCAGTCCATCCCGTTGCTGGTCACTACGAAGACCGGCTCCTCGTACTTGGCCCGGAAGTAGCCCATGGCCTTCTCCAGGTAGGCCCTGTCAGCCACCACCCCCTTCCAGGTTGTGCGCATCCTGTGGACGTAGTCCCCCCTGCGCACATGGACGCCCACGTAAGTTACACTCTGGCGCTGGACACGCAGCCCAGCCAGATACTGGTTGGCCTCATCCTGGATGTGGTCATGGAAAGAGAACTCCTGCAGGATCTCATCCTGAAGGTGGTGGTAGAAAGTCCATGAACAGGGGTAGCCCATTAGCCGCACATACTTGCCTGGGATGTGCCTGTACTCCTCCGACATCCAGTCATGGAGCTGATAATTCCTCCAGGGGACTTTCTTGAACACAGCTCTGGGGACCACAGGCAGGGTGATACGAAACAGGGGTGCCAGGTGCTGGTGCATCTCTGGGAGGATGCAGGCCTGACACCCATTCATCTTGGCCAGTGCATAGAGGGTGGCAAACTCTCCCATCTGGTTCCCCAGGCACCCAACAGAGTTGATTGTCCACAATCCAGTGTCCATTTTGGGGCTGGTGTCCTTTTGGTACCCCATGGGTTTGGGGTATGGTGGCCTCTGCCCGGGGTCACTTTGCCAGTCATTTATGAATAGGAAGAGTAAGACTGGTAGGCATGCCAGCAGGCAGAGATATAGTAGATGGAACAAGGTGGAGGGGACCCTGAGGACCATGGTGGTAAGACTGTGATCCCAGTCTGGAGAGAAAAGAAATGGATGAGACTCAGTCACACCCATAGAAATTCAGGCCTTCCTTGAACCCGCTAATCCAGGGAAGGCCACAACCATTGGCCATGATGGCATGTGTAGGCTGGAGAGAAGCTCTTGGGGAAAGATGAGAGGGAATAGTAAGGTGGCAGTGGGAGGAGAGAAGAATAGAAGGACTGATGGATGTTGGGGTCTGTGGATAGATGCATGGCAGGGTTTAATAAAAGGGGTGCAAGGGATGTAAATGGCAGGGATGGGGGGATACATGGATGGTTTGAAAGACAGGATGGAGGATTGTTGGTGGGACAGCTGGGTGGCTGAAGTGAGAGATGGGATGGATGGTCAGTCACAGGGCTGTTGGCAGGAGTCATAGGAAATTAGTGGGATTGCTGTGGGGTGTAGCAGGTGACTTGGTGCTTCTGCTACTTGAAGAGCAGGCTGGCTGCAGCATTCTGTGGGTTCCTATGGTGGGTTAAGGAAGTAATGATCACTGATCAGTAACTAGAAGGGTGTGTGTGTGTGTGTGTGTGTGTGTGTGTGTGTGTGTGTGTGTGTGTGTGTGTGTGTAACCTTATCATATTCTAATATAATAAAGGGCTTAGTCTGTCTGTCTGTCCATAACACTTTTAATCAAGTGCGCATGTGTTATTGAGGTAGAGTTACCATACATCCATGTCCTCTTTTTTAAGCCCTCTGATCTCAGTCAGGGCGAGTTTTTTTAAATCTAACCAAGTGTCCAGGACTTTCCTTTGCTCCACTGGAGGGAGCAGAGGGAGGGCGATTGGAGGCAGCAGGGAACACACACATACCTGTCTGCAGTTGCAGAGGTGCGTAGACCCATATGGTGCTCCCTGCTGCCTCCTATTGGCCTCCCCCTGCTCCCACTCCCAGAGCACAGCAAAATCCTAGACATTTGATCAGGGCAGAGGAAGCGGAAGCTAGGGTTGCAACAAAGCAAGGGGGAGGGGAGGGTTGCCTGTTCTCCAGTGGGGGAAGGGGCGGGAGGGCTTGGAGGGTATCAGGGAACTCCATGGCCAGCACAGGGACCAGTGCCCCTGCTCTGCTCACAGGGGCTGAGCAGCCACGAGACACTGGGGGGCGAGAAGGGCAGGGGGAGGGAGGGGGCCATGGCCAGGCTGCCTGGTGTGGTGCAGCAGCCCCATCTCAGGGTGGAGGGTACCACAGCCTCCCCTCCTCTTCCCTCCAACCCGCTCCATCACTGCCTGCTGACCATTTTTCCTTTGTGTTGGTATTGATGTGCCAGGCCCTTGAAGGGGAGCGTGTGTTCAGTTATTTGGGGCCAAGCAGGTGTCACCGAGTGTTTGGATTTACCTCTGGGTCTGAATCAGCCCATTGCCACTTTTTAATAAAAAGTTTAGTATCAGAGCCACCATGCTCTTATCGGTCAGGACGGGGACACCTGGGCCCCTCCAGCAGGGCTGGTGGGGTCAGGGGCCTGCGGGTCAGGAGTGAGGGGCACTGGGGTGGGGGCAGGAGACTGCGGGTTGGGAGTGCAGGGGGAACTGGCAGTGTCAGGAAGCTGCAGGTCAGGAGTGAGGGGCACCATCAGGGCCCAGGGGGGCAGCGTACTGCAGTTTGGTGAATGAGGGGCACTGGCAGGGCTGGGGTCAGTGAATTGGGAGTGATGGGCAGCAGCAGGGCTGGGGGGTGTGAGACTTGGCAGTGAGGGGCAACAAAATGGTCAGGGGCAGGGCCACCTTTCAGGGCCAGCCATGTAAACGCTCCTTTAAAATCCATCATTCATGACGGGCAATTGGCTAGTATATATATAAAGACATATATTTTTACCAAAAAAAAAAAAAAAGATGGATGAACAGAGGAATCAAATGTGTGTGCATGTTCAGGATGGACGTGCATGTTTGAGGATAGATGGATACGTGGATGGATGGAAGAGTAGGTAGGCAGATTCCTCTTGAGTTCAGGGGGTGGAGGGACACATAGACAGACAGAGATGATGGGAGGATGGAAGGACAGGTAGGTGTTCCAGGGGATGGACGGGAGTACTGCAAGGTGGGGTGTTTCTGGAGTGATAGATGAAAGGATGCGTGTCTGGGCCTGTGGAAGGCTGGGTGGATGTTGGGGCTGGAAGGCTAGGAAGTGGGGATTGGGGAGGGCAGGCTGACACGTGGGGGTGGCTGTGGGGGCCTGGGTGGTCCCTTGCAGGGCTGTGGCTCTAGGGCTGGGGGCCTGGGCCTGGGAGAGGCAAACGTCCAGCTGGGATCCCCCTTTCCTCCTTACCGTGTCAGGGTAGGGGGGAACCGTTCCAAGGGGGCACCGGCTGTGGCTCAGGGTTTCTCTGGGAGTGCTGTGATGTCCCACCCTGGTGGGCCAGATCCCTCCTGCTCCAAGTCCAAAGCCCTCCCAGGGAGGTTCGGCCTTAGAGTCTCTTCCAGGCAGCAGGAAGTTCCTCTGTGCTTTGTCAGTGGGTGCTGCTTGCCACGCCCAGCAGGACCGGATGTGTCCCTTCTGCTCCAACGGTTGTGGTCAGGCATTGGGAGGGGGACAGATGGACAGACAGGGACTGGGCCATAGGCTATTAACATGCCCTGTGACTGCCAGACCAGGCTAGCAAACCTAGCATAGGAACACTTAAAGCAGGTATATAATAAATTATCAGCTTTAAGCAGGGGTACAATCACTAATCAATCTGCTGGAGCAAAACCAAAAAGTCAAATGTGAAAAAA